TTGACTCATATAGACGTATTATATAGTTTCGTATAAAATAACGTATACACAATACGGAAACGTGACTGTATTGAACAACTGCATATTCGTCAAACTATACTCATTAAGTTATAACTTATGTAAGTTTCCCGAATGACCCCCTCGCCGCCGCCGTGTAATATCGTTTAGCCGCAAGAGCTTTCGCCGTTTCATTATACTTCGTCCATTAGTTTCGTCCCCCCCATCCTTATTTCCATTTTTTCTGATCATCGTCGACGATTAAATTCTTCGACAGACTTTATTGTAATATGCAAATAAAAGATGATCATTTATGCGACCATTTTTTTTCGCGGGGATCTTTGGCGAAGTCCACATTCTTCCTGTTCGACAGGTTAGGAAAATATGCATTTTTCTTTGAGCGTTTTGGATTCCATTATACTCGGGTGCAAGTTTTTAAAAATATAATCACTGAGCTTATATTCGGCGGAGCTACCTACTCTAAATATTATGTTTCCAGCATATGACAATTAATTATAATATTATATTTAACACGTGGGTCGGAAAATAATTATAAATTGTATCTTGCTCTACTGCCCGCCATATATAAAATGTAAAAAAAAAAAATCACCAAAGCGGTGTTTTTCTCACAATTTTATTCACTTGTTTATATTGACCTCCCTGGATTTATTTAAACGTGAAAATACGTGTAACATTACAGAATATTAGTTAGATTTGCTCAACGCAGCTTTAAAGTAAACATTATGATTTAGGCATGATCGTTAACATACTATTTGTCTGTGAAGTATAATATTATGTGTGTGTGTGTGCTACGCAACATTTGATTTGGATACGAAGTGCGTTAATATAATTAAACTCAAAGTTTCGTGTTAAATCTATCAAATATGACGAATCCTGATGGCCACGCGCCATACTGCACACTGCAATATGTTAATTTAATATTAGATTTATGCCGTTCGGGGCCTAGACATACATAATATTTACGTATTATTGCGGTACCAATACTTTATACACGTGTACAATATATATTTCTAAATACTCTGAACTCGACCGTAGGTACACGTATTTTTGTCCATCATTACACGATTTTCTTCGGACCAAAAAAAAAAAAAAAAACGTGCTCGGCCTGTTATGTACCTACGTACAGAGTACGTATATACAGTGCCTATGTGTCCTGCCTAGTGTAGCCTAGGAGTACCTATATATACAGAGTATCTCGCAGTAATATTTTCGTGAGGTCAGTGGCTCCGAGAAAGGTATTTTTCTCTATTACAAAAAACAAAATTACATTGCTTTTTAACTCTTCGACGAATGGAAATAAAGATCATTATCCTAGCGTACCTGCAGCACACACACACACACACACACACACATTTACCTACGAGATATATACGCCCCGGTGAGGAATGAATAATTGTTTTCGTTTCGTTGTTACAGAAAACCGCTATACCGCGGTTGATAATAATTATTGTTATTCGCCGTACGCACGCGTTGCGTATTATAATATAGGTACCGTCTTTTATGATATTCCCATATACTGAGGTACGATATTTGGGTAAACGGACAATGATATCATATGACTAAAACCATAATATGTACTCCGACAAAACGGAAAAATTAGACAATATTTTTCATAAACCTAAATGGATACCTGCAGGTATATATTATATGAAATATACCACTGAAAAATCGAACCGTTGCCCGACAATTGCTGTGTTTTGTGTGTGCTTTGAAGTGCCTCCCAACCATAATAATATATATTATATTATATTATGTAGGTTTAGTGTAAGACGATTCGTCTTTGTCATTCGCACAAACCGATTCGGTGTCGACGTCGGGAGTGCATGCACCGCGGGTCTAGGTGTTTATACCGTAAGTGTGTCAAGTAACAATTAGAAGACGAATGCATATAATTTAATGGGTAATGTTTTTTTTTGTAGCAACGATTGAATTCAGCCAAAAAAAAAAATAAATAAATAAACAATTGCTGTTACATTATATTATGCATCATATGGGAGATATATTATATTATATGTACGTGATATACATTATATGACCTTTTTGAAGTTTTTTCAGTATTATGAAAATTATGAGCTCAAAAAAATAATGTCGTCTGAATAGAAAGAACACTATTATTATTTTTTCAACGCGTTAAATATAACAATAAGTCATTTTTTGTAACTCCGTATTATATTATATGTTTTATAAATTATAATGTTATCATCTTTGTTGTGACACATTTGCTTAAAATATATATTAAATAAATTATATTTTATGGATCGTAACACATTTTAAGGTGGTTTATTTAAAAAAAATATATTATTGTTGTTATTATAAGTTTGTAAGACGTATACAACGACGTAACATAATAATATATATGTACATTAATCACCGAGTGTATAACACCTGCATATTCTTTAAACAAAAATTATGTTTCGTATAAGTCTCGAAAGTGTTTTACTGAAAAAATATATTATTCCTGAAGTGCAGCCACGGGCCTCCCCGACCACGGGGTACTGGACCTTAGACACTGGTCGGGGGGTCTAAGTCAGGGGTATTTTGTATCCGTATAATATTTAGTCAGTGGGCCTCAAAGTTTTTTTTACGAAATTTATGGTGCGTACAACTAAATAGGTTTGGTGCCGCCGCTGGTGAGGGGAGCAGAGATAATGATTGACATCGGTTTTAAACCGATACAAATAGCGTACAGGTACTTATTATATTGACGTTTAATATCATATTCAAATGGTATAGGTAGGTGTGAATTGCAAGTGTCACGAAAAAATAAACACTTGTTAATTCCGCCCAGTGTACTCTTAACTGCTATCTATCATCGGCTTCATATCGTATATAATCCTCGAATCTGATGTATTATTGATTGTTCAATAGTAGGTTATAATGTATATATTATGAGATAACACGAGACGTATAATATGATATTAGATATTTAGATGTATAGGTTAGGGGTAATATGCAGTACCTGCGTAGTCGTGTATAATGCAGTCATTTCTGAACTATATAATATTATATATAGTCATTCAAAAAGGAGTGTGTGTGTGTGTAGTCCTCCAACTTATAAGTCATATTATTATACACACACACACACATATGTATGTATGTGTAAATATAGACGCGTCTCGTGTAAAAGCTTTTGTGGATCGAATTAACGTTGTTGCCACTTTTGGAAATGTGTTTGCGCGACGACGAATGCAAATATCCGTATATACACTCTTGTACATTATATATGTAGACGAACGTGACTCACTATAATATTTTATATATATATGTATAACACTAGCTGATGTACCCGGCTTCGCCGGAGTGATAAATATTTACAAATGTCTTTATTATTATAAAACCTCACTGTGATAATCCTCATCTAGAGTTTTATTTTCTAGCGCATAAACGTGTTTAAACGATCTTCATCTCTAGGCACTCTAGATTTAAAAAAAAAAAAAAAGACGATGTAGCGACACTTATACAGCTTGGGCAGGTGGGGAGGGTATACAAGAACTCTGCGAATAAAAATTGGAAAAATATTCAATCGTTTCGCCGAAAAACTGGAATATAAAAGCGTCTATTGTTTTATATATATACCTACGCATATTTAAGGAAAGTGTGAAGCGTGCGACACTTCTGAGAACAAACGCTGCTGCGATTATGACGTAAAAATACGGGAGGACACAAACCGATAATAATATAATATAAACTAAAGATCAACTTTTTGTCGTATAATAATATGTGTATTAATGTATTATATATAATACGTACACATACAACAGGACTCGACGAGATGAAAAACCACACGCATATTTGGTTTAATTTAGGAGACCTGTTTAGATCAAATAATAGGTACTATGCGATATTCCACCGTTCTACATAAAATCGAAACCGAGGTACAACAATGATAATATTTCAATAACCTCTATAGTAGATATAGCATCTTATTGATTGAGCGTGTAGTTACACTATTTTGAAAATATTTGATCAGATATTATGAGTTGGCTATATGACCCTGAATCATAATTCATATTTTGTAAAAAGTGTATATTACTAAATAATTTAATTCTACAATTAATAGGTAAAGTCGCTGTACCTACTTATCTACACATATAATTTAACAAATGCAATTAATTTTGTTTATTAGTAATTGATAATAATCACTTATTTGGCGCTATAGGGTCATTCGGGGCACAAACCTCAGCGATATATTTGCGAAATAATCATTTCATAACATATAATGCTCAACAGAAAACCGACAACGTGCAGTATGGACATGCTGCACCACGAACCAGAGCCCAGAGGATACAGTAAAATCGGGCACACTTGCGTCTTACACATCACATTACACCAAAAATGTGTCGCAGGCTATACATAAATAAACTGACACTAATATTTGATATTTATATAATATAGGGTGTTGTACTAAAAATCATTACACAGCGCGATCATTATGCACGATTATTTCACCAATTTTTTCCTCGGATTTTCCGAATTTACTCATATAGTAATGTTTCCAGTAAATACAGTTTATTCTGATTTCATAAATAACGGTAAGAGAGGCATACAGAACTAACCTTACATACAATAGGAACCTGTGAAAAGTATGATGTACGTACAATAAATGTCTGACATATATATATATAACTTTGTGTGTCTCACCTCCACTATACAGGAACGTATATATATTCCTCGGGAAATCGGCAGTACGTGTTGATGGGTTTGGGTGGTGATTACTGATTAAAGCTTTAAGAAAAGCTCGTTACATCACTGCACAATACTGCAATATAAAATACTTTCACAAGCTGCGATGCGAAAATGGTTGGTTATTACCTATAGGACGAGGTCCGGGACCGGAATTGCATCACACTGCACAATCGTGAACACTCTAGCGGGGGTGCAAATTGAAAAAAAATTCGAAAACCGTGCGATTGAAAATATTGGAGATGGTCTTGAAAAAAATGACCGTTTGATAACCGTAAACAATGTAATCGGTGGTAGCTTCAGGCCTGGCTTACCGTGGTTGGACCTCGTGGATTTAAAGCATCACCGGATTCACTGTCAAAATATGTTTCTGTCAAGGTGATTCCTTTAAACCCATGGTGCTCCGTATCCGCTGTAAGCTCGGCCCATGTCAACTGCCGGCCGTGGGTGGGCGGTGGTCCATATATCATCTTCCATATTTTCCGCCACGTCCATCTTTCACAACGATTATCCATCGAAACGTCTTTGGCGAAACTGGTTTTGAATGAGCCACCCATAGAGGCAATTTCATTAATCTCTATCTCTACGCCGCTAATTTAGAATATTTATTGTATTTAAAGTTAATGTATTATTATTATTATTATTATTTTTATTTTTGTAAGAAATCAACTTCATGTTTTTTTACTGTAGGGGGGGGGGTACGGTTGGGTCGTGTATCTATGTGTGGCGAGGAGTTTTCACTAAAACCCGGGTCACCCATCCGGGAACTAGCGACGCCGGCTGATGCCTGGTCTCAGAACACATTTGTGACTGTGGCCAACCACCGATCCACACCAGGCCATTAATATATTATAATATGTGTGAATTGTATATTATAATGTATAGCCGTATAGGTTTGGAAAATCTAAGTAAGCAATTGGTAAAATAGTCTTTCAGTTGTCTGATTATGTGTAAAAACAATATGGCCAATAGGGCTATAATATTATTTGATAAATGAAACAACCTAAAAAAAAAAAAATGAACTAACGGATAATTAAATATTAGATATAAATTAACAATTTGTAAACACGATTACTGTCCTGATTAAACTGTGTTGCAATTTCCAAATGTGTTTCAATTTCTCAATAGAATTTTTTCCAACTGATCCAAACATGCTTTGCTTCACATATTATTATAGGATTGATGGTTAATATAGATCGTTGATAATTTTAATTAATATATAATTCGTATACCTATTATCGGATGGTTTTTAATTAAATCTTCAGTAAGAATCGTCATCATATCGTTGGCTTGTCACGGACACAATGCGGTTTATTCCGTTCGTATGAAGTCATTATTTTTCACACATAATGATGTCTCATGTCTGTGTTATGATAATGACATAATTATATTTTGTATACCTAGTCAAGCGAACCAGCAAATCCCATGTCGTCTGCAGGTATCTTTTGTCGGGTGCGGAACTTTTCCATCCATTGCATTGTCGATCTTCGTGCGCGACAGTAAATAATATATATAAACATTAAACATATGTACATGTTCCTATTCAAACAATATGTATAAATAACATTTAAACAAAAGACAATCTAATTTTGGAAGACAGATAGAGACTACAAACAGACACAGTGATCAGAGAGAAATAGAGAGGGAGAGAGAGAGAGACAGATAAGTTAAATAAATAACGTTCACAGGTGTGTGTGGGGCGTTGAGAAAAAAGGTAACTATTCCATTAATTTTTGTTCGGACGCGCCCTCCCTTCAAAATAAATTTCCTTTTCGTTTATGTGTGTGGGTGTACTGTAATAATAATACAGACAGGGTGTTCGGGAAACATTCGTACAAAAGCGACGCGTGTTCAGGTCGTATATGTTTTGTCTGGAATAAGTTTTCTTCATTTTATTGCTTCCTCGTCGCCTATAGGTTGACTATTTCATATAAGTACCTCCGTCAGATCATATATCTCAATAACAACAGTTTACCATATATATGGGTGTACATAATTATTATACTGCTAACTGCTATACCGAAAATATTTGTATAATTTCTATAACCAGTCGTAGTGCAATATAGGCTCTTGTCATTTCTTCAGCAGCCGTTGTCTTCGTTGTTCCAGCTGTTGAGATTACATCATGATTTTCTCACCTAGTATTCCTTTAGAATTTAGACTGTACTCTTAATCAAATTTTGTTTTATTAAAAAAAAAAACACTTTTTGCTGTCCTTCCATATTATGTTTTATTACAGCTGATACAAATATACCATTAAACTTCCATATTACGAAGTCTCATAGAGAGCATTAAAAAAAATTCGTATAATAGAGAATTTTGTTAAATAGAATAGAATGAATTTGATTCAATTTTGGTTTGATTCTCAAAAATATTTCGTTGAACGGAAAATGGAAATTCGTTGTACGGAAGTTTTACTGTAGGCATATAGGTTTATCGGACGATCTCTTTGATTAGTTAAGTTAAATAAATAACGTTCACAGGTGTGTGTGGGGCGTTGAGAAAAAAGGTAACTATTCCATTAATTTTTGTTCGGACGCGCCCTCCCTTCAAAATAAATTTCCTTTTCGTTTATGTGTGTGGGTGTACTGTAATAATAATACAGACAGGGTGTTCGGGAAACATTCGTACAAAAGCGACGCGTGTTCAGGTCGTATATGTTTTGTCTGGAATAAGTTTTCTTCATTTTATTGCTTCCTCGTCGCCTATAGGTTGACTATTTCATATAAGTACCTCCGTCAGATCATATATCTCAATAACAACAGTTTACCATATATATGGGTGTACATAATTATTATACTGCTAACTGCTATACCGAAAATATTTGTATAATTTCTATAACCAGTCGTAGTGCAATATAGGCTCTTGTCATTTCTTCAGCAGCCGTTGTCTTCGTTGTTCCAGCTGTTGAGATTACATCATGATTTTCTCACCTAGTATTCCTTTAGAATTTAGACTGTACTCTTAATCAAATTTTGTTTTATTAAAAAAAAAAACACTTTTTGCTGTCCTTCCATATTATGTTTTATTACAGCTGATACAAATATACCATTAAACTTCCATATTACGAAGTCTCATAGAGAGCATTAAAAAAAATTCGTATAATAGAGAATTTTGTTAAATAGAATAGAATGAATTTGATTCAATTTTGGTTTGATTCTCAAAAATATTTCGTTGAACGGAAAATGGAAATTCGTTGTACGGAAGTTTTACTGTAGGCATATAGGTTTATCGGACGATCTCTTTGATTGGTCTGGTCCATCGCACGTGGTGAGTAACTAATCGTTATTTTTATTATGTTATATTATTATTCGTATTTTGTATCTATAAAAGCCACGGTCTTGAGCCCAGCATATATAGGTACATGTATTTGATTTGCTGCAGGGTATAGGTACATTTAGATAGTATAGGTACTACAGCAGATAGGTACTTGTGTCTTTTTCTTTTTTATTTGTCTTCGTTAACATCCAACACATTCATATGTACGATTTGAACTGGGTCTCTCGTAAAAAAAAAATTAAATAATAAAAAACTAAAATATATATTTGTTTTAAATTTGATAACGTAAGATGTTGGTAAACTTGAAAGCTGTTAAAAACTTCGATATAAAATACCTATGTACATAATATATATATATCAATGCAAGACGAATGCTTCCAATAAATAATATTATTCGAATAAAACCATGTGTCTTGACTACCTGATTTTAAATGTTTATATAAATAAATATGACCAACCATTCTACAGTCTACAAACATATCGATAAAATAAGTAATTTATTTATTTGATTATGACGAATTGTACACAGATCGTCTTTACTACTCAGTGAACCTTTTAGCAAGAGGCACGTAAAATATATTGAAAGTTAAATTTAATATTCTATGCCACTTAAAAAAATAATACTAATGAATAAATATTATACTAGTGTGATTCATTATTTGTGATTGTCTATGGTCTATCTATTCTAATTATTTATACGTATCCAACCAATTTTATTACGTATGGTCATTGGCCAAATGGAAAACTAGTAAATTACTATGTAAATAGGTACTAAAAATGAAACAATTGCTATTATTTGTTTTGGTTATCGATAAGAACTGCACTTCATAGTATGTTCTAATTAAATGTGGTTGTGGTTATAAAATTGCTATTTTTTTCCTAATTTACATTTCATCGTTGTCACTGACACCGATCGTCCATCAGTTTAAATAATTGTTGAGTGATTAGGTATTATTTTTATACACGAAGATATTTCATCGGAAAATTGAGGATTTAAACAAAGAAAATACCAACATTTTATGTAATTAAAGATCTCAGAAAAAAAATGAATTAACTCAAAGTGAAGTGGGAGATTATTTTATAAAAACCGAAATAGTGTAACTCGAAATAATAATAAAGCATCAAGCACAATGTTTCAGCTTGTGTATGGTAAGTCAGTAGGAACTTTGTAAGCTGTGGTTTCAACGTTAAAATACAATTTATATGCTATACTTAATTGTTAATTTCATACGTTGGTTCTCCAAAACAATCGATTTAAGTTTTTAATTCGACACGCAGATACTCATGCATTTTGCCATCCAGCTCGATGTAGACAATAGACAATAGACATACACACGGTTATTATTCTTTGGGACCAGAATAGGATGTATTATAATATTATTCGTCTGTATAATATGGTTTTGGAAGTTCATAAAACCTTTTCCGACGAGGGTCAGGGTTGGAGCGATGGATATAATATGGATAACAATATAATACCCGTTGTATGTTAAAATGTCGGCCACAAAACGCGTGTGGGCCTGCTTCGTGTTCGATCAACGATGTGGCTATACCTGCGCAACCGTCTTCGCCTTGGACGCTATAGCACCGCTGCTGTACACAGATCGAGCCCACCCACGTCCTATTTTAATATAATAACTAACTTTTTTCTTCATAATATTACACGTCGAAGACGAAAACGACTACCATTAGACCAGAACGGCCTTAACAGTTTTTAAGTCTCTACCACACTACCATCATCACTACGTTGGCGTGTCGTGGAGAAGTTATATATAAATATATAACAGTTTATATTATAATATACAATATTATAGTGTGTACCTGCCTAGGAAATGCATTCATGGCATTATATTTTAATATTATGTATATTTATTTATATGTTCCAACACTTATTTATTACTGACGTGATGTTTAGAATTTATAAAAAAAAAAATATACAACAAAAACACATAATATACCAACTGGTTACAGTAAAATACTTTTAGTTTTTCGGAGTTACAACATACATTTATTTTGTATACTATCGTTTTTAAGATTTTTCAGGTTTCAATGGCTGATCTAATATAAAAAGTTGATATGCATAGAAGTGGTGCAATGAAATCTATTTTTTTCTCATATTGTATAATAATGTGTTTTCTATTTTCCATTTAACATATTCTTATGTATATTGATGTATAGTATGTGTGTTGATTGATTTATAACTCTTTTTTACCGAATTGGAGCAAAAAGTTTTCTTTCGAATTTATTTGTGGCGATTTGAGTTGTGCAGTTATACAAATTA